GAGGAAATGATAAAAGTATTTTCATGAATTTCTGGTGCAACTTGATGGTTTTTAATCCCAAAATAAAGTACATCTTTTTAAAAAAGTCCATTTTGCAGAACATTTTTATAAATGTATTAGAGACAGGTATAACTGCTATGAGGAATAATTTTAGAAATTTAATATTTTCCTTAAAATGTAATTGGCTACAAATTATTACCTACTAAAACATTAAATTCTTACCTCACAAGACTGCTTGCTTTCCATTATCTTTAAAATAGAGTCTTTCAAAGCATGATGAACAAACTGTGTAGCAGTGGCTTTCATATACTGCTCCATCAAGGTGCTTGCAAGTGTTGTGGCTCGAAATAGGGTAGTGGCTTCATCTACACAAATATTTACATTAGAAGATTATTTGTAAAGGACTGACCTAATGTGACCAAATTGGAAGTTAAGTGAATTCATTTTACCTCAAAAGGAATAACCACTTAAACGTACTTTTTGCATGCAGCATTGAAGTACTAATTACAGTGACATCCTATACTTCTACAGACTTAACTCTGTAAGACTTTCATATGTATTACCTCATTAGATCATAAACAGGAGAAGGGATTAACACTGCCATGTTCATATGGAAAAATGAAGTCTCAGAATTGTTATATGTAAGATCAGTTAGACAGCTAGTGACAAAATTAGGACCACAAATCAGCTTTCCTGCCCATTGACCCCATGCTTTGAAACTTTGGGGTTTATTTACAATTAAGGATATAACACTAAATCCCAGTTTAGATTAATTTATTAGCTTAAAACGTGTCTACTGAGTTTCAGTAAAATTTTAATGAAATACAAATGCTACAGAAAAGATAAACTCAGTGTAAAATAAGGACCACCATTTTATCTATTCCTTGACAAATCTGTATTTTGTGATGACAAGGAAATAGTTCTAAACTTTACTATTTATTTGGGGAACCTAGAAGCAAGAACTATTACTGAATCAAAGTGCTGGGTGGGGGGGGGGGCGTTGGGGGGGCCGGTGGATTATTTTGTAAGCCATAAAAGCACTGTGAGTCCAGCAGCTTGGGAACTCTACCTATCTATAAAAGTTAGAAATAAAATGCAACTGACACCCAGCTTCTGTGAAATGAATAAATAAACAAGACCTGTAATCCTGGCACTTTGGGAGGCCGAGGCAGGCGGATCACCTGAGGTCAGGATTTCAAGACCAGCCTGGCCAACATGGTGAAACCCCGTCTCTACTAAAAAATAAAATAAAAATTAGCCGGGTATGGTGGCATGTGCCCGTAGTCCCAGCTACTCGGGAGGCTGAGGCAGGAGAATTGCTTGAACCCGAGAGGTGGAGGTTACAGTGAGCTGAGGCCTGGGCGACTGAGACTCCATCTCAAAATAAATAAATAAACAAGAGAATACAATTAAATATGCCAGACAATCAAGCACTATGAGCCATTGATGTAGACACAGATACCACTTTCTTGTGGCTTCTAGTACTTATCTGCCAAACTCTGCATTAGAAATATCAGCTCCCCATAGTAACCAACATAATCAGAACTGATATCCAACTGCAATTTTTAATGAGGGAAAAACAGAATAACTTACCTTGCAATATAATTTAACAATTTAGTATATTCAGAGATAGAGTCCATATATCCTTGATATAAAATCTAAACCCAGTTTTCTTAAAGTATCACACTAATATAGCCATACTATACCTTCCATGCTTATTTCTCTGTCATTTAGTGTGCATAACAACAACGATTCAAGCTTTTCGTGAAGAAAAATCCTCAGTAGGATGCTGGCCAATAGTGTTCGGTCTTGTCCACATACATGTGATAAAGCGTAGACTACATGAAGTTCCTTTTGCAGTATAAGCTAAAATGACATTTTAAAAGACTGTTTAAAGTACATAGCATTAAGCATGCTTCATGAGACTAACAAGAAATATGTTCTTTCACAAGTTCTTATATTTAAAATGATGTCCCACTGAATAAATTTATTTAAAATAGAATGAATTCATAATCTACCTATTTCTACCAAAATCACACTATAAAACAAGGTTTTAAATCTTCTCTGGCGTCAGTGTGCTACTAAGCTATGAATTACTATGTGTAGCTTAATAGATTTTTTATTAAATGTTAAATGTTTCTGTTAATTCCAACAAAAACAAGATTGATAAATAACTTAATACCTCTTTAAATTCACTGTACTCTTCTTCTGGCATGATTTTTTCCATAGAGTATCGTGCTCGAACACGCAGGGACCCTGGTTCAATACCTTTTAATGGTATATGGGAGCTGAGCAGAAACCATTCATCTGTGGCATGCCCTTTCTGTAATCGGCTCAACTGGCAGCGCATAAATACTTGGGAAGAAAAACAAGCAATTATTGTCTAAAAAGATAACATGATAGTCATGCAAGTAAATTTTTCTGGTGTTCAGTCTTCTCTATGGTGTTAAATGCTTTTCATTAAAGGAGTTTTCAATAACATCACAAATTCAATATTTAATTGCTTCATTCATTTACTGAATGTCTACTGTGCACTAAACTCTGATAGGTAGGGAGTATAGAGATGATTGAGATGTGGTCTTTGAGTTGCATAGAGGTCAGTTTAGTCAGTAAGGCAAGAAATCAATTATGTTTCAGCATTAAGTGCTGTTAACAGTGGTGAATGCTATTCGAGTACAGATAAATAATACCTAATTCAGCCTGTGGAGGTGAAAACTCCACTTTAAACAGGTAACCCTTGAGCTGACAAGATCTGGAAGTGTAGCTAAGAAGAAAAGTAGTGAAAAAAGAAAAGAGAGCACTTAAAATATAAGGTATGGCCTTCCTTCTGTGTCATTACTGTGGGGTTTGGATTTTATCGTAAAAGTAATGGAAAACTAAAATTACTACAAAAAATTACAGAATAAACATTTTATAGAGGAATATTCAGGCTTTAATCTGTCTGTTAATACATATCACTTCCTTCCCTAAGCCTGAGTGTTAAGAAGGTATTAACCTAATTCACCCTGATGTGAACTGGTAAATCCCACTGTCAACTGCTTTAGAGCAGTATGGAAGGAGTTGTGCTGCTGAGGACAGGAACTGGAAGCCTTTGACTACCAGAAGTGAATAAATGATATATTCAAGTTTAAGGGAAATTTTTAAATAGAATACTTTTTTACTAATATGCTAATGTAATCCCAGCACTTTGGGAGGCTGAGGCAGGCAGATCACCTGAGGTCAGGAGTTCGAGATCAGCCTGGCCAAAATGGTGAAACCCCCGTCTCTACTTAAAAAAAGTACAAAACTTAGCCAGGCATGGTGGTGGGCGCCTGTAGTCCCAGATACTCAGGAGGCTGAGGCAGGAGAATCGCTTGAACCTGCGAGGTGGAGGTTGCAGTGAGCCAAGATCACACCACTGCACTCCAGCCTGAGCAACAAGAGCAAGACTCCATCTCAAAAGAAAAAAACGGAAAAACCTAAAAAGTAGAAAGAAGGGATGAGGGCAAGCCCTACAAAAAGACCACTGTAATCATTTTCTTATTCTTCCTATTCATTGGAGAAAGGAGGGTGGCTAGATACTTTAATCTTAATTGCCTAACAGTATGTACGGTTGAACCGTGTTGGTCTTTTTTTTCTTAGGTATACTCTTTCTTGATAATCAATACTTTAAGATAATCAATACAATAATGCAGAAAGAAACTATCTCAAATTATACTACGTGCATTTCTGATTTTTTTTAAAATTTCTATTTCAAGACTATTTCATTGTGAATTTTAAAAGTATAGAAAACATGCTTTTTCTATTTTAGAAAGTTTCTGTATCAACTTACAGATATCAGGATCTTTGCTTTTCTTTGTTTTATTACTGAGAGTTATTTCAAATCTATTGATGTCAGGAGGAAGATCACTAAAGGAGCAAGGAGAAAAAGAATTAACAAAATGATTTGGCATCAAACTACCTTATTTCTTTAGTTCTAGTATCAAATAAACCCCCATTTCTGCCAAAAAAAAAAAAAAAGAGTGTGCTAGACCTAAAACCAGATTGACAACGTATTTTATTATTTGGTATACAGAAGACATGCAAATTACACACTTTTCCTACCATCTTTAACCTCCTAAACTAATAATTCATTCAAATAAGTACTGGAAACCCTAGTAAACATTTTGTATGTGTGGATTAGTGAAGTTTTTTGACTTGCTAATAATTCATGTTAATAACTAAGTGGAAAAACCAAGGGCATAGCACTTCACAAATAAAGGTAAACAAATACAACAGAAAAAAAAAATATATATATATATACACCTGAATATGGTAGCTTGTTCTGATGGTTTAGAGACCAAAAAAAATAGAAAGAAATGCAATATGGTAAAAGAAAATGATTAATGTAATGATAAAATAAGACTTACTCAAAGACAAACTCTTCTGACCACACTGGGTTTTGCCCTTCCCTTGCATGAGTTTTTGCTACTTGGACACTATTCAAGTAGATGTTACAATATGGATTAGTAAAATGTTTTACTGGGAGTTTATGGGCTTCTTCAATATGTAAAACAAGGCTGCTGACCTAAAAAAAAAAAAAAAAATTACCCCAGATTTCTATAATTGCACATTTCAAAAGCAATTACTCTAAGATACAAAGCCAAAAATAATGATTTATTTTCCCCTTTTTTCAGAAAATATGAGCTTTGGTTATATTTTTCCTTTATATATGACATACTTAAAATATTCAAACATTTAAAATAATTCTTCCCACCTAAAAAGATAAAACAATGCAATTTTATTTTACAAGTTATTTCTCCCACTATATACTTGGAGAAATAATGAAATACATCTTTTCTACCATAAAACAATGATAAAGAGAAAATGAAGTTAAGAAAATTCTTTACTAATGTAAGTAAACAACTGTCACTACTCATCGAAATCCCGTATGTTATATTTATCTGGAAGATTCTATTTCTATAGAAGAATTCCACAGCTAAACACTTTTAAAACACTGACCTTACCTTCTTATTTTACAGGAAAGGATACAAACCTAAAGAAACTAAGCTATCTGTCAGTTTGGATGCCAAAACTTAGATCATCTACCTTCTAGTATCAGGTCCTCTTTCTCTCTTGCCATATACTACTTGTGTGGCCTTGGACAAATCTGTCCCTCTAAGCCTCATCTTTCTAATATGTAAGTATAAAGTCTACACTACAGGTTGTAATAAGGATTACAAACTAGTTATCCCTCAGTTATCTGTGGGGGACTGATTTCAAGACCCTCCACCTCTCTCTCCTGGCAGATAACTAGGCCCAAGATGCTCAAGTTCCATATAGAAAATGACGTAGTATCTGCATAAAATCTATGCATGCCTTCCTGTATGCTGTAAATCATCTCTAGATTACTTGTAATACCTAATACAATGTGAATGCTATGTACATAGTTGTTATACTGTATCTTTTTATTGTATTTTTTTCTGAATAGTTTTGACCCATGGTTGGTAGATTACAGTGATGCAGAACCCATGAATAGAAAGGGCCAACTGTATATGTAAGTCACTAAATCTCACTGCCCACTGATACATAAAAAGTGTTTGAGATGTTAGCTATGATTATGTTAAACCTGCAAATGTCAGTTTAATGGCTCAAGTTTCATACAAAATACAACTTGCTCTTATTTGCAAAAATCCAATCTGATTTTTGATAGCTTACAAAATGTTACAATGTTATGAAGACATGGCGATTGTGTGTCTACTTAAATGTCCCTGGCGAAGAGCCTGACTTTGGGTTACAGGGACTATTTAGTCACCTAAATGTCAACCATTATCCACTCCCAGTAGAACAGTATGTTAATCACTCAGCTTATCAGATATTCACATGAAGAGAACAGGAGACACTTTGGTCAGTAAATATTGTACTCAACTTTCTTTAAAACCTCGAGAATGTCAAAATTTGCCTAACTTCTTCCAATTATATAGGGATTACTATAAAGAAAAAAAGCCAAGAAATGGAGGTTATAAAGTTACCCTTGTAAAGGCAAAAAAGAGAAAGCCTAGCTTAACTCTCCACAACTCGAAGTATAGGGCATGTTACAGTTTCAAATAAGATTAAATATTTCCTAAGAGTTAAGCAGTAGGTTTTAAAAGCTGTTCTTCAAAATGAAAATCCCAAAAAAGTTTATTGAGATTTGTGCTATAAATCTGATGATCTTTTCAATGTTCTACTTTTTTGAAAAAGGCCAAAATAATTTTTTAAAGGAAAATTAAGTGCCCAACAGAACAGTTTCTGCTGTGTTGGTTTAGTATTGTTATTTAAAGTGGAAGAATAATCTTTCTTATGTTTTTAACAGTTGGCATTTTGGACTAAGAAAGAACATTCTCTTTCATAAAGAAGTAACATTTTCCTGCTACTAAAGCAAGTGGCAGCATGGCTTAACCCCTCCTAAGATATGATGTCCAAAACAGTTCAGATAAAAATAAAAAGAGCGAAGCGTTAGAGCAAAATGTGACAATTAAAAATCAAAGAAAATTAAGCTTCACCTGACGAAGGCGTTTATTGGATGTCCCTGGACTACTTTTCCGTAAATTGCAAAATGCCTGCAGACCTTTCATCCAATCCTACAAAGAAAAAAAGCATTTCAAAGAAATATACACTAGTTTATTTGGTTTCCAAATCATCAGTTAGGTTTTTTTTTTTTTTTCCAAATTCAACAATTCCTTCCTTCTTTAGACTGCCCTTTCGTTTCTCGGACTATATTGCACTTTATAACAATAACCAATAATAAAATAATAAAGTAATAACAATAAAACAACCAAAACAGTTGTAATTCTGTATAAATCTTTGTTTGAATTTATGTATTAAACACATCGAGTGGCCATTAATTAGCCAAAAAATCAAATTTACATGAAAGAAACTGTTTCTCCCAAACATACTACCTTGGGGAAGTTAACTGTCAAGTATAATTAAGCTGTTACACTTGAGGCAAGCTTAGGTGGAATTTAACTTGATACATTTTTTGAAAAGGGGAGAGGGCTGATTCTAAAACCAACTGATTAACATTATGACTGATCCCATGACAAGCATGCTAATCTATACTTTAGGCCATGATACAGGCAGAAATGTATAAGGGGATTTGGGTTATTTTTAAGCTTTTAAATATAACATTAGATTTTAAAAATCATTTTAGCCTAATATTCAAATCAAATTGCAGCCATATTTTTTAAATGTTTAGTGCTTTGGGGGAAAGAAGAGAACTAAGGTTTATTAAAAATAAATCTAAATATTCACTTTGGTTTTTACATGTTTCTGGAAAGCTGTGTTCTATTGCTTTATTCAATTATGTCTTTAGTTTGTTGGCTATTTCAGTGAAGCTGAACTTTATCAATATTTAGAGACAGTCTTTATATTACAGCAAATTAAAACCAAATCAGTTACCACAGCTTTTTGAAATAGAAGAGAATAACCAGAGACCCCCACAGCCCAACAAATCGACAAAAACTGGAAATACCATTTATGGAAATATATAAATATTATGTATAAATACATTTAAAACATATTCTAAGGCTGCAAAACATGCTGAAATGTCACTATGGTATGTGACACATTTTTATTCAGAAAGACGGACGATGGTAAAATGATTAGAAAATAGGATACTGAAGTTTAAATTTCTAACTCAATTTCTAACATTTAAAAAAATCATGTAAGTTACCAAAATGTTTTGAGCCCTACCTTTCTCGTCTAAAAATTAGGAATACATAGCCATAAAATTTTATGTGCATTACATGTGAAATGAGCATTTAAATGAGATATTTTATAAAGATGTGAAATACGACATTCAGTTACGAGCTACAAAACACAGTGGCTCATTCAAGTTTATTCTATGAGTCTCATGCTAGGATCCAGTTTTAAGGGCATCTTCCTCATATCTAGGGTTGGCAAATTATATTTCCAACAAAGCCACTTTCACTTCTTAACCACGTTTAAGTTCCTTCATTACAGTATAAGCCGAAATTTAGCCATATTTGTGTAAAATACGACCATATACCCCAGAAGTATTAGGGTTCAAAGAAAGCAAAAAAAAATTTTAAGAGACAGTATCTCAGTCTGTTGCCTAGGCTGGGGTACAGTGTCTCAATCTTACTCACGGTAACTCAAACTCCTGTGCTAATGCAATCTTCCTGCCTCATTCTATCCAGTGGCTGGGACTACAGGCATAAGCCAGAACACCCAGCTAATTTTTTACTTTTGTTATAGAGGTGGCGTCTCCGTTTGCTGCAAAATATTTTTTAAAGAGTTTTTTTCTTTAATATTATTTCTTCACAAAATTACTTAATAGAAGCTATAAGAAGGACACTGCACGTGGATCAATAGCTAATCTAAAGTAGACATTATATGTAGACTTGGCTTGGAGAATAGATTCCTAAAATCTCTTTCCTTGTGTTGACTGACTTTTATTTTCAGACATGGAGTTCAACCATTGAAGAAGAATAATTAATGCCTGTTAGCAAAACTAACTGGCTTACCTTTGGATTGTACTGAGATTATCTACAGCCTTTATGCAGAGAGGATTTTAAACGAGCATTCTCAGTTGGACTCAACATCATAGAGTATTTAAAGGTCAATTTAAAATGGAGTTTTCATTCCTAATAACCCTTCACTGTGTTTGTTTCTGCATTTCTTTCAGAAAACTTTTTGCATATGAAATCTCTTTCCTTAAAATAAGAGATGATTAGATTTCAGGGCTTCTATCACTTTATCTTGAATGCAATCGTTTTCTATTTCAGTTAATAAGAAAACATGGGCTAACATAAAAGTTTACAGTGGTTGAAGAAACAGTACTCTTACCTCTGCTTGTTCTGGAGTTTCTCCCGCAAAGTAAAAGATGTAATGTTCTTCGCTAAAGTGCTGAACTACTATCTGAAAACAGTTTGGCCTTTAAATTAAAAACAAAAATTATTAGGAAGCTTAACAAAAAGCAGCAAAATATTTATACCAGCTTCCAAAACACAATAAATAACATAACATTATAATTCTTAAGAGAAATAATACTGCACTGTACTAGATTATTAAAAAGAAGTCAGCTGTATATATTTTAGAAAACTTTATGTCAGCACTATTAAAATTTTATCAGTGTTTCAAAGTGTAAACTAAAGCAATTTCAATTAATTGTAAAAGACATTAGAAATAAAGTTACAAACAAATTGAAGCTGAATTGCTACAACTACACACAGCTAATCTGAAAAACTTTATATGCACTGGAAAAAGACTAGAAATGTTCTTAGACCAAAAATGTTCTAAGTAATTATCTCTAAGGAGATTGCAGGTGATTCTATATTTTCAAATTTTTCTAAACTGATCATTTTTCTTCACCTGTTGAAATGGAAACATCATCTCCTTATACATATGCTGTTCTAGAGTTTAAGTGAACAGCTGTGTACAACAAATGTTCTTGTCTTCCTTTAGTATTATTATAAATCATTTGATACCACTTTTGAAAATGTGCTATCTTTCCAACTAGACTTGAAAATATTGATAAAATCTTTACAAAGGGCCTGCATGTTTTTGGAACTCAATAAATGTTACTTCTATTTCCTGCTTTAAACAAAGATTTTGTATCATGCTAATGTTAGGAGGCCATAGCAAAAATACACAGAGGACAGGCTTAACACTTATTAAAGATAAAGACTATCTTTTCATGCTTTGAGAATGTCCTAAAAATAATCATGGAAAATAGGAATTGGAAACTCCCAATTCTAAATATTGCCTGTATCAGACTAACCATCCTAGTTGGATAAAATTTAAAATATTAATACAAAACAAAAAAAACAACTGTTTGAAAGCAGTGGAGAACAACCAAAGCAGCTAAGATTTGAGGAGCCAAGATCATACTATAATGAACCCGACATTCTTCACAGCTTTTCCATTCAAGGCAGTTGCCAATTCCTAAGCTGTGTAGCTGAGACGCTAAGCAGAAAATAGTAGCTAAAAGGCTAAAAAACTAACTACAAATCCAGTAGTTTGACAGTGCTGGGAGGGGGAAAAAAATGAATTTCAGGCTTTCCACTGAGACCCCTGAAGGGCTATGCCTTCATGATAAGGGCAAATCAGAAATGGAACAGCCTTTACAAGATGTACTATCCCTACACTATCCGTAAGAACAATTCTTTCTGGACATAGTAACATTATTATCCATAGTTTCCATAGTTTTTCATGTACAATGTTTACCATTCAATCAAAGTAAGTAGACACTACAGGCATCAGGATTAAATGGCTAAAAGTTGCTGGGATTACAGGCGTGAGCCACTGTGCCCAACCTTAAAAGAAAAATCTGTTTTCTAAATGAGAGACTTGAGTTTAGTTCTCATTAACATAACTTTTTCATACTAGGTTTCAGACTTGGTATCATTAAATATAATTCATGACAAAGACTTTTTTTAATGTCTTCATATTCTTTTAAGTCACCTTCAACAAGAAACTGCACAAGAAACAAGTTACAACTTCATAGCAAGTGATAAAAGTATATTTATTGCTTTTCCCCATACCAGACAAACTCCTTTCTTGTTACTAACCAGAATAGGAATCATTCAGAATCTTCAACTTGTACTTCAAGGATCTGATCCTTCTTTTTACTCTAGCAGTTCTTTCTCTTTTACTGTCAAGTGTAATGTGGACCTTTCTTTTGATTGTGCCAACAGATTTCCAATCTAACTGCATCTGTTCATATAAACTAATGCTAAAGCTTTTCTTCAGTCTTACAGATATTGTTATATTCCTCTTAATACTTCCTTAAGATTCATATAATTCCAGTTTTAAGTATCACTAGTGAATCATTTTTAACTTCATTTTTCCCAGGTTGAATTTCTGCCTTAAATCCATAAACTGTCAAAACACGTATCTTTTTGTATTATACATATAATTTGACGAAGTTTACTCATTCTTCAGTAAACCTGCAAAATGAGAATCATTCCCCAAAAGTTTTTCTCCTGTAATCATAAACTTTTATCAAAACTTTTCTTTTGGACAGCTAACATACTTCAGCATCCAACAGTAGGTATTTTGATTCCACTTCTCACATAAAACTGAAAACGCATGCAACTGAAGCAGCTTAGATTTTATTACAGCCTCCATTTCATTCTATTATTTAATATGGAATTCAGGTCTACAGACAAACATATATATAATCTTGACATAAAATCTTTAAATGTTCCTATCATGAAGGCTCATCATCAGTCATTAACTAGCATTTCCATAGGACCTTCGTTGTTTCAAAGTATTAAAGAAATACATTTAATAAATGTATTTTTTTCGGGGCCTAGTAAGTGAGTTACATTTTTTTTAAATTATTTTTCATCTTACGAGTCTAATGACTTGCCAGTGTTAGTCACTAAATTGCCCTTATTGGGGGAAAATTAATATCAGTACATTAAGGCTAATTATAAAGTAGTAAAAATGAAAAATATATCAAATTTATTATGTTCTTTTCAAGAACCTCCTACTTTACAATGATAATTACAACAATTTTAACTTCCCTGTTAATTGAAAGAAATGTAAGAAACAAAATGAGACATTTCTGCTTGAACATAAAAAGTAGCTTCATGATGATTAACAAGCTGTGAATAAAGTAATATTCAGAGTACCTGGATGATTGAACAAGAAAGTAGGAAGTACTGAAGTATAGCCACTATAAAAAGCTCTCTGTCTCCAAGTGTTATGTACCAATTCTTTTGCCCCAATAAAATGATGAATTGGAACAGTTTATACAGGGATCATATGATTTCAAGTGTTATAATTTTTGAAATGTAAAACATCTGTTAAATACTTGTACTACAATAGGATTTTACAACCACTAGTATCTCAAGGGACACCTACACTGATTAATGGAACACTGGTTAGGAAGCTGTGCTTAACCAAATAAATTCATACCCATCCTCCAAGAATCAAGAACCACCTATTTCATATTACTGATCTCAATGAAGTTGTTCCCAAAATATCATCCGACTTTTACTGTTTTAATTGTTTTCACGATAATAAACTACATTTAGTAGTGAATAGTGTCGTCTCTCCAATATCCATTTCACTCATACATATGGTAAGCAGAGCAGCTTCACTATTTGGGTGAGATCACTTCTAGCAACAGATCTGGGCACAAAAGGGCCTCCTCATTCTATCGGGATAATCCCATTCCTTTTGCTACCTCAGGTAACCTAGAACTAAAAATTGGTTGAGAGGTGGCTCAACAGAATATTTTCAAGATTTTTAATAATTATGGGAGTGAATGCTTACGGCCCTTTCTCTGGTGCTGTTTGCCACCTTGCTACTATGTAGGGAACTGGTTTGAGGAAGGATTCAACCCACAAGAAGGGTGCAGAGTAGAACTAAAGAGAAAAGCCAGAGACCTGAATCAACCACATTTGAAGGCTCAGATTCTCAGGTTGTGAAAAAGGGGCAGAAAAATCTCAAGAAATCCTGTCTCACACAATCTTTGTGTTTTTTGGAACAACTCTTTATGAGGTATCAGAGAGTATTCAAGGAAAAAAAAAAGGGTATCTTTGTAAAATGAATTTATGAAGTAATTCATACTATTTTAGAGATTCACAATATAAACACTAGCTAAGAATACAAAAAGCCTTGCTATATATAAGTAAAACTATTTGTTCAATCAGCATTCCTCAAACCTATCTGATCATTTTAAAAAACTGTCAAAATCACAAATAACACTAATGTGATCTCCTAAACACACTCTGAAAAGAGAAATGACAAGGCTATATATTTTACAGGTATTTCTCTTAAGAGAAATATTTCAGCAGGATAAAACGTAGATTTGCCTCACAGAAATGCCATCCTGCAGCAGAAAAACAAGCTGTTGAAACATTTGTTTTAACTGCCTTTTCTCTAACTAATTGTGACAATAGGTAATAAAAGTGGTAAGTACATCTAAAAAGACTGGGATGGATTACTGATAATACTAATGGTGAAAGGTAAAAGGCCGTTGTTCTTGAGCAAAAATCCAGATGTAATCAAGAGCTGGATTTGTCCTCTGATGTTTAGGATTCAGCTTATACATTTATATTCATTTTTTTAAAACCAAGCAATCAATGTAAGAAGAATTTTTTTTTTTAATTTCAAATACATTTTTCCTATCAAGACAATTTTAAGATTATTTTTTAACGTTAACTTTTCTCAAGAACTTGCTTACAGAGTTAATGGCAGAATTGAGTGCACCTAGTACTCTTGGGTACACTGAGTTAAAGCATGTGAAAAAAACAGAGGAAAAGATGACAAAGACTCAAAGTCAGTCACTCAAAAGATTGCTGGTGGGGGCAGGGAGAAAACATGCCTTATACTACAGGAAATGTCATGCCAAAGATTTCTATGCAATACAATGGAGTAGACTTTATGCATATGTTAGTCTAAAATTAAGCAAGGAAGGCAAAAATTACCTAGAAAGTACATCTACTACTGTTAGAAGGTAATTTTAGGGCTCTCAAAATTGGTTTGCTTTGTTTATACCCACTATTTTATTACTAAGACAATCCCGAAAGAAAAATAGGAAACCAGTCTCTTACCTGCCAAAGAGACTATCATGAACGACATAGACAGAACATACACTGAGATCTATTAATCCTTTTGGTTTGGTAGCTCGTTTTTCGCTTTCAAAATAAATAAGCTGGGCATCACTACCCTCTAAGATAAAATATAAATTTTTCCAACGTTTTCCTTTGCCTGTTAAAAAAAATAATTATTATTATTTTCTCTTAGCCAAATAATTGCGAAATTCTACATATTATTAAAATTAGTATTTCTAAAAATATGAATCAATTTTTATTCCAAAGCTTATGTAATATGCCAATTCTTACATAATGAGAAAATGCCTGTAACAAATCTATACAAAAATGCCTTTTGTTACATTGCGTGTTTTAATCACAGAGTAAATGTTGAGAATACTTTATATCTTCAGAGATTTCATCATGAGGAAATCGTAAAAATTCTTGTTTTGGAGTAATTCTTTAACAGTCTTCAGGAAAAAATTCTTCCACTAAAGCACACCCCCACCCACAATTCCCCAACATGTCTTTATGTCAAATTGAGGTAAATCTGTAAAATATCAATACTATGAATGTGCTATGTGCCATAAGGATTTCCTCAAAAAAAAAAAAAGAGAGAAAAAGAAAAAGAAACCATGGGCTAAAGAAACATTCTGGTTGAAAATATAGACTTCTAAATATACCTACACTCTAAATTTTGAAGAATGCTTATATATGGGCTCTAAACAAGTGTCAGTTACTAATAACTCATGTCAAAACTTATTAAATATATATCACAATAAGTTCGGAGCTCCATATTTACAACATCTCTATCAAATGGGTTAATGATGAAAGTCTGAACTTACTCTTTTTCAGAAGATAACCTTTCTTAACAATATTTTTATAGAAGGCATCCTTTGTTTTACGACGGATAGTATTATAAATTTCCTTGCCATCCACTGCGTCATTGAGTACTTGTTCTTGATCCTGAATTTTAAAAAACATTAAAATTATTTCATACATTCTTGATGGAAATGAAGTAAAAAATCTATAAAATTACCAATTAAAAGCCAAAGTGCTTAAAATACCAAAATCTAGATATACATAACACATAAATGATTTTTTGCTTTCCAAAGAAATTCTCTGAAATGTTTCCTTATAATTTCGAAGAACACAGACAACGTTCACAGAAAGATTTCCTTGCCAGTCCCAAGAACAACTAATAAGTTGTCTGTTTCCATGGATACCTAATAAACTATTTTCAAATATAGTCAGTTATACTTTACAGCAAATAATGTTTTAAAAACATAAACTTGTCACAGCATAACTGGTAAATTAGGACCCAGTAAAAAAAATAAATTCATGTTTGCTTATGCACAGTTGTGTCTGTGAGAAATGCTAGGTGAATACAGACAACAGTACCCAGGTGAACTAAGACATGAGAATGAACAAAACATACACACTTCAAATACCTAACAGTTCCCTCAATCCACTAAGTGTGTCACATGCCACACCCATGCATCTGCAGCTGGTGTTATAACCCTGATTTCAGATAATCCTCCTCTGCCAATCTGCAACATTCCCACGCTTCAACCCTACCAATGGCCATTTCCACATGTAAACTTCAGGTCTTTCTTCAAGGTAAAATGCCATATTTATTGTAGTATGTACATATTTATTAAAAAGAAAATATATAAAATTAAGCAACATGTTTATATTAGGTTCTTTCTTGATGTATCATTGATGAAATTTCTAAGTGTTACACCCTTAACCTCACTTTGCCCAAAAGCCCTGTGGTTTTGATTGCCTGATTTTGCATAATGCTATGATTTTTAGGAATGTATATGTTACATTTTAGCAGAACTTACATTAATTGCTAAATCCCCTGAGAAAAAGAATTATATCAGGATGCCTTTATCATGATCTTTCCAGAATGAATGAATCTTCAATTTTACTATTAAGGTCAGTTGGACTGTTTTAGTTTTCTGGTTTCCTTTTTGAGTAGCTCTTAACTATTTTGCAAGGATTAATATTTTATGACTTTTAGTCCATCTTACAAACCTCATGGGTCCATTCAATCCTCTTATAAATCTAAGTTATGCTGTGGGATTTTCACAATCCTCTCTCTCCTGTATCTTGAAATAATTATGCTGTTTCATCATCCTAGGAACTATTTCATCATTACTCAGAATTATTCCCAAGTTTATGCTAAAAAATTACTAAAATAAGAAAATAGAAGAATGAATTGCCTACAGCAGGGTTGACAAACTATGGCATGCAAGCTAAATCCAGTCCACCACCTGTTTTTTATACATAAAGTTTTATTGGAACACAGCCATGCTCATTCCCTAACATGCTGTCTGTGGTTGCTTCCAGATAAAAAGACAGACTTTAGTGGACACACTAAATGAACTGCAAAACCCTTTACAGAAAATTTTTGCCAACCCCTGGCCTAGATAATATAACTGAAATAAATCATCTGTATTGCATCACTCTGGGTGTTTTCGTGTCTGTGTGTGTGTGTGTGTGTGTGTTTTAACTGTGTTGCAAAGTATTGCAGCGTCTTTTGTAAAAATATAAAAGGCCATCTTTGCTGTATTTTTAGCTTTGATTGATCGTACTTAAAATATTCAGAACTCTTTATTTTCTGCTCATAAATGATAAAGAGAAAAAAACTGATCCAGGAAGATATCTGGCAATTAGAAAAATCAGAAAATGAATGCAAAGAAATAGCACTCTAGACTCTACCATGATGGCAGAATTGATTTTGATAAATCTCAGACTGTTTTTCAGGTGATGATATACTTGAATTTTCTCAAACTCAAGAATCACTGAGTGAACCATATTACTTCTAAGGGGAAAAAAAGGAAATATGATGTTCTCATCTGGTTAGTTATTAAATAGGAAGAATGTCGTCATGCAATATTTTGTGATAAGAACCTGGATTATCCTGTTCGGCTAAAAAGAAATGAGACTATTTAAATTTTTGTATGTACATCAAAATTTACTTAATATGACTTGTGAATGGGCAAATATTAAAGGACCTTTGTATAAAAAATTACTGAAAGTAAACATAGATATTTTAAAATTCACTGGATTGATCACTCTTATAAACAACGTTAATTGCTGTTTTAAAATCTAAACAAAAATATTTTACAATTATGGAGCAAAGGACACTGTACTCTCCAACAAAATTATGAGCCATCAAAGTTTTCAAAAGTACTGCATTTTGCTTGCGCCTTTAATCCCAGGACTTTGGGAGGCTGAGGCAGGATCATCTGAGGTCAGGAGTTCAGGACCAGCCTGGCCCACATGGTGAAACTCTGTCTCTACTAAAAATACAAAATTAGCTGGGCGTGGTGGCGCGTGCCTGTAATATCAGCTACATGGGAGGCTGAGGCAAGAGAATCGCTTGAACCCAGGAGGCGGAGGTTGCAGTGAGCTGAGATCGTGCCATTGCACTCTAAGCCTGAACAAAAAAGAGCGAAATTCCGTCTCAAAAAAAAAAAGAAAAAACTACTGCAT